GAAGTAGTTTCTTAATATTCACACTTTTAGCCAAAACAACTTACATTTTGAAACAGAGGGAGTATTATTCCGGTTGAAATCATCGACCACCTGAGCTTTACGTTACAACAAACAGTAAACATCCTCACCCGGTCTCAAGCCGCGAAGAAAGTAAAGGAATTAGCGGAACGAGTCACAAACAAAGAAGACATCGAGATGCAGGACCCGATCATCGAGACTGAAGTGGTGGATAGCCCAGCCAAACAACACAAGTCTACAGCAATGGATTCTGACCCGGTGGAAACCCTCGACGTCACTCTTGTGCCAGCCGAGACGAACATAGACGAAAACATCATGCCATCCCTAGATACAACGATGATCAACGAAGAACCTACTCCGGAAACTGAACCTACCGACATGGAAGAAGATCTTAAAGTAGGGGAATATGGCTGTGATAATAGCTTGCTCGACCCATACGAGGTTACATTGACAAAGGCGTGGTCCCTCCAGATAAGTGGGCTGCTCGTAAACTCAAAGCCCAGGTGATAAGATCAGAATCACACCAACCTTATTGTCACACGGTTTCAAGGCCTTCGCTTGAATGGATCGAAGTTCGCCACACAAAGTTACGGAATCAATATCTATGTGAATCGCACACAAAGACATAGATCCCACTTGGTTTCTAAAAGAATCACACACATTAGAAAAGACAAGCAAAATAAAGCATAAAGCTTCAAATATAAGAAATCTCTCTCTTTTATTTTCCAAAATTTTTATATAGCTTTACAATGAAACAAATGAGCTTTTATAGCTCTTAGATAGTGATATTTACAATAAATATATTTTTAGAAAATTATTACATTTAAAGAAATGACAAAAGTTAGCTAAATCAAATAATATTCTTCTTCCACCAATTTAGCATTTGATATTGAATGAGAAATCATTTGATTTATTTGTGATGATATGAGAATGTGATTCTCATAATAAATCCATGTATTGAAGAACTTGATTCTCTTTTTGATATTGCATCAC